CAATAGAAAGCAATGAGTTTCAGAATTTGCACAAAACTGCCCTATATTATAATATATGTGTGTGTTTAAAGACTTCAATTTCGTTTATAATTGATTATTTTATAGTTCTATCTGTGGAAAATATTGTAATTTTAAATTTATTTAAAATTATATTTAATTCAAAAATTTTTAACCGATTTTAATAATTCTAAATAATCTCTAAAGAGCTAAATTATCAGCAAATAATTTATATTGTATGCTATATTTTATTTTCAAAGAAATCCTGCTTAACTTGATCTAGTCACTAATTCAAAATACGATAGAACCAAATAATAAAACAGTTTATTATTTGGTTATTTTTAATTTTATTTTTTACAACACAGGGGGCAAACGAGCACGCGGCTCACCTGATGGTAAGTGACTACCGCCGCCCATACAACACCAGCGGCATTACAGGTGTGCTGCAGGCCTTATTTAATTAAATTATTCATTTATTTAATTAATTTAATTAAAATTTAATTTAATTATATTAAAATACACCCATTAACTATCTACTGCTGAACATACATAGGCCTCCCACTTGGGGCTCCTCTCTTTAGGGGGAGCCCTATGTTTTTACTACAATATATATTATGTATATTTCGAATTTTTATTTTTAACCCTAATAATGACGATAGGAAATCAGGAATGATAGAAACAAATCAAAGTTTAATTAACTTTATTAAATCATTTTTTTTATTATTATTTGGCACGTTAAATTTTCCTACTTCCAGAGCTGATCTTGTCGAAATTATATTAAATCTTTTTTTTAAAACTTAAGATACAGGTGAACAAGTTTTTCAAGAAACATTTCATAATTATTTACAAAGCTACATGTACAAAAGTGCAGTGCTACAAACAAACTGCAAAGCAGTTTCGCGACCCTTAAATACATATTCTTAACATGTATTATCAATGTATCTGTATACTTAAATAAATAAATAAAATTTTGCAATAAAGTTAGTAGCAAATCAAAACGTTCAATCAATTTAATTTTTATTTGTACCACTATTGAATATTTAGCAGATCCACTTAAGGTCTATGGGTCTACCATGAAATGAAATTCCGAATTTTCGGAATCTATTTCGTATTTATGTGCTCAGTGAATGGAGCTTAACATTTCATTCATTATAAAACCTTCCAAAACATTTATTACATTACATAATGTTATAAACATCATTGCTATTTTAAGTAGTAGCCTGCCAAAGATATTGGAAGCGGCTCAGAAACATCTGCAGTCGGGTTAAATACCTTTATAACTTTGTTTGTTAGCACACTAGGTTCAGAACATTGGTTTGGCTTTTTCTGTTATAATGTTATAATTATTTTTAATGAATAAATAAATAACAGTTCAAAAGATTGATACTTTAACATTTTTAATGTTTTTAGAGGGTATCTACCTATTATGTAATTTTAACATCAAATTTGCGTTTCGATCGGATCCGAAATTTCGGTAAATATTTCATGGTAGGCTCTTTGATCAATTATTCGTTTGTTTATATCTTTATTGAATTCTGTTAAAACTGACTATTATTTACATATTATAATAATATATAATAACATTAATAAATGTATGTGTCAGAGGGCACTACCTTACCCATTCACAACAGGTCTAACAGAATGTGTTCATTTACTTAAACCTTGTTATTTCTTACTTATCTGTAAAAATGTGACATTGAAACCTTCAGGAAGTGAGTCGTACTCCTTAAAAAGCCGATAGCAAACCTGCAACTTCTCTGATGTTGTAGGTATTGGCGGCAGTTATTACTTACCATCAGCCGAGCCGCATGCTTGTTTGCAAACTGTTATGAAAAAATATGAACAGTTTTTTTTTTATGCAACATAGAATGACAAACAAGCTGACGGCCCACTTGATGGAAAGCGGTAACCGTCGCCTATAGACATGAGCAGTAGCATGGACATAACAGAGTATACTGTTTCACCCATGATACCTCCCATGCGTTGCCATTCCTAAGGTCTCAGGTGTTATTCCTCTGTACTCAGTAAATTCACTGCAGTATCCCATAGACAATATTCAGCTCTGGTAGAGGGCATGTATTGTATTTTAAGCTCTTTATAACATGTTTAAATCTCTCTAAGCACAACTTCATAAATCTATTATAAAGGTTAATGTTAACAGTTTCTTTGAACAATTATCGTTAGTTATTTCCCAATATGTATAGGCACAACTTTATTTATATCATTATATATTTATTATTAATATATATTTTCCTTATAGATAGACAATATTTACACTTAAAAACAAGGAATTACATAAAAGGAGTGATAAAATTGTCAATTCATAGCAGGCTAGTGTATAGAGAATGTTATACGGCCGTATAACCCTACCAAATTCAGATACAACCTGCTTGCATGCTTTCTAAATAAACTGTGTCGAATATATAATTTAGTAACGTAAAATTTGTCATTGACAAATAATTGACATATCAAACATTTTCTATACTCGTACACTAGCCTGCTATGAATTAAGAAAAATAGCAACTGATGGTGTACCTTTCGTCCTCTTTTTACTAATTATATTTTCATAGGAAGAAAGGAGGCAACAATATGATTTACAATTTTTATTTTATCATTCCTTTTAAGTAATTCCTTGTTCTTAGATTTACACACATTATATTTTATAGATTTTAAAAACATAAATAATATTGGAATACATTTTAAAGTAAATGATACAGTAGTATTTAAACATAGGTGAACCCCTAATCTCTAAATAGGTAAATCCTGTACTTTAGACAAGCATTGCTCTCCCCTATACGACATCATGACATAAAATGCATACAATGTAGCCCCCCCCCCCCTCTTCCACGGTTGGTACCAACGCAACCACTATATCCGTGTATTTTAAATCTGTAACATCTTCGAAAATATTCATTTAAATTACATGCTGTAAACAGCCATATTGATCTATACTAAATGGACAATGTATTTAAGGTACATAATTGGATAAAAATTAATACTGTATTGCTTAAAATCACTTCGTTAATAAGCCATTTTTTCCCGTAAAATATAAAGGATAAAACATGGTTATTGTGGGTTATCCTTAAGGGATAGAGATATAGCATAGCAGACTTTTTTGTTGACCTTTTTAAGGCGTACAATACTGTAGTACATTATTTTGATTTATCTCGTGGGGTTCAGCCAACGTTTGCATTGTAAGTGCAAAAAAGTATGTTTATTCACGACATCACATTAGAAATCTCTAAATTTATCAGTGTTTCTCTACAATATTATGCATGTATTATACATATAAACCTTCCTCTTGGATCTGTTTATCTATTAAAAAAACCGCTTTAAAATCCGTTGTGTAGTTTAAAAGATTTAAGCATACATAGGGACGGACAGACAGCGACAGCGACTTTGTTCTGTACTATGTAGTGATACTTATATATTTATACATAACATCTCTTTCACACATATGCCCGTGAGTTAGGTATTTAGGGCCTACAAAAAATTTGTGTCGTAGCTTCAGGTATGAAACTGGGACATATGCTGAGTTAGGTCCTTTGCACAAACACTGTTACATTCATTTAGTATGTAATAGTAAAATATCACATTATTGGCACATATGTTATATATATATTATATACATATTAACTAAAAATTAAACGCATTTGTTATTTTAATCATCTTCACCAATGAAATTACATCTACTATTTAAAACTTCATACTTCTATATTGTAAAAAATAAATATTTTATTTATTTATTATTTAATTCGTTAGTATTTTTACAAGAGTGTATTTTACCAATAAAACTAAACATGTTTCCCAAAGAAATAGGTATGTGTTGAAATACTATAAAACACTTTCAGTCTTATTACAAAATACTCATTAATACTTGGAATAAACCTAGACAAATAAATCGAGGTTTAAACCAAGTCTAGAGATAATTCTGAATTTATTACGAAAGCATTAACAGAGAACTTAATATTAGAGTTAGACTGTGGATCACATGTTTCCCTAGATTATATACAGTAGTCATTCATTCATTTCGATCATTAATCAATTAGAAAATCAAATCAAATTATATTTATTCGCTTGCTACATGGTACAATAAGAAGTTACGTACATATATAGGCACATAACATGCAGCACCCCGCAGACTATATGCAAATGTCAGGCGTTTCGTTTCACCAGAAAACTGATATTTTTTAAAAGATTTATTATTACGTAATGTTTATAAAGATTGAAATATATTTGTGCTTATCGTTTAACTTTCCATTATTACTATTTAAATAGGTTTGACATATTTTTGACATTGTAATACCATACATATTTTTTGCGATGGCTAATTAATTCTATTTCGCAGCAATTGTATCGTGAAACAGAATATAAATTCAATATTTTATGAAGTAATTACACAATACAATCAATTGACTAATTAGAGTTTATAATTCGGATTAAAATCTATTGCTAATATTTTAATAAGGTTATAATATTTTAATAAGGTGGGGAGGGAAAGCAAAATCCTTCATAAGAGAAGTTGAGTCTGCGCATAGCGGATAGGGGCCATGATCGCCGTTCTGGTTCGTATCTGGCTCAAAAGATATCTCTGGCAATCCAACGTGCAAATGCCGCAAGTGTCATGGGGACCTATGGGTCGGGTACGGGATCATGAATGAAACTGATCATTAATTTAATTTTTGTTTTTTTTTTTGTGATATTGTGAAATATATTAGTTTTATAAGGTTATATTCATTTTATATTTATTATAAAAAATTTCGTAAGCACACATTATATTTTAAAGCAAAAACTACCGGTTTAACTTACATGTAATTAGATCGAGAGAGCTCGACTAGTTTCGGGATCAATACATGATTTTTAGTCATGAGCGACTATGTTGCGAGTGCGCATGTCACAGTAAAGTTCTATTACTAAGAATCTCTTACTAATATAATAAAATTGTAATTGGGCGATAGTTGTATATGAAAGATATTTAAGAAAAAATATATAAGGGACCTGAATAACAGCAATAGATCTCAAAACAATATATTATTTAGAAATTTTATCGTTCCGTATATTTGTTCTAGCGTCATAGAAAAACTATAGCACGAAACTGTATGCGGTTTTCAAAGTTATGTTTTTTGAAAGTCTAACATAAAATCTGATATATATTTTATATTCCGTCTATAAATAGTATACTTTATTTGTTTTCGTATTTTTTTTACAACACAGGGGGCTATCGAGCGTGCGGCTCACCTGATGGTAAGTGACTACCGACGCACATGAAATTTTTTTTTCTTTTTATACAACTTAGAATGACAAACAAGCTGACGGCCCACCTGATGGAAAGTGGTAACTGTCGCCTATAGACATGAGCAGTACCATGGACATAACAGAGTATACTGTTTCGCCCATGATACCCTCCATGCGTTGCCATTCCTGAGGACTCAGGTGTTATTCCTCTGTACCCAGTAAATTCACGCCATATCCCATCCTTCAAACCGAAACACAGCCATGCAAACACAACTGCTTCACGGTAGAAACACGAATGGGACAGAGGTACCCAAGCAATCGAGTTTTGTACAAAGTCTCCCTCTAATAAAAAGAAATTTTCGATTATTTCCAAAATCCACGCGTAGAAAATAATGGGCAAAAAGGTTATTAATTATAAATTCATATAAAAGATCTAAATGTTGTTAAATTACCTCTCGTGTTACAGTTGTAATAAATGTAAAATTACAAGTTTTTAAATTATATTTTCTATGTTTTCATCAATCATGATATAATATCTTCTCTCAGTGTTAATATAGATGAACTAAATTCCATTTTCTACCACAAACTTGAAGTTACAAAATTTCAGTTTCAAATTGTGACGTTAATTTCATAAGTGAAGATTTAGATGCGGTATTTTAATTTTAGAATACATTTGATTTACAATACCTTTTATCTTTATAAACATATTATATTATATTTGGTACTCCTTGTATGTCCAATTCCATGTTTTGTTCACGCTATTGTCGTATACGGGGTCGGCAGGATGATTCACTTGCAAGTTTCCCTGTCGAAAAATTTATTGAATATGAAAAAAAATTATACATGATATTAGATGTATAATTAGAGAATAAAAACTAGTATAAAATGTAGTATTTTAACTAACTTTAAAAAAGATGGTTTTCCGTTGTATTAATTAAGTTTAACAAACTTCTCTCATAACTCCATCAATTATGAATCAATTTGGATTTTTTTATCTGAAAGTACATACTTATAGTTTAGTTTAACATATAGATGCTTGCAACACTAGGGGTGTTACATGCGCGTTGATAACCCTAATGAAACCTTAATGTACCCTTTTTGAAGAACCCCATACACATACATATAGTCTCTAGAAAAAATCAAGTCAGGGAACTCATTCCACAGCCTGAGTGTTCGCGGGAGAAAATTTCTCTGAAACAGCACTGTATATGACCATTTAGGTTCAAGCGTGTGAGGATGGATTCTCTGTCGATGGCGAGTGGTGCGTTGATGAAAGGTGACTGTAGGCATCATTCCAAATAATTCCTTGCCTTTACTAGAACTTTTATCTTATTCCTTCTTCTGTACAAAATAATTAAAATGGATGAAAATGTATAAATGAAAAAGGTCGTTACCACTCAAATTGTTACGCCTAACACATTGAAGTCTGGTGTAAAATTTAAATATGATTCAAACAAAGCCATCATTGTAAGTATTAAGCTATATTGAGTACCAACGCTTTATCTAATCAAAATTCCTAGTACTTAACTTAATTATTCACAATATTAATTAATCTTCTACGTTCTAACAACGTATTTTCATTCGAATTCAAAGGAATTCCTAATCAAAGGAAAAATCTACATCTTTTTGTTAACAAATTGTTTAATGAGTGATTTCATTTTAAAATTAATGTAATAGGAAAAACTAAATTAACAAATGCTGTACAAACAATAATGTAATATAAAATATAACCAAAATCATGACCATCTTTTTATAGAACAAACTACAAGTCGAATTAAACAGTTTTAAGGAAATCGCCCCACTAGACGAAGTACATAAGAATCTATCAATAGAATCGCTACGAATAGAGCTCACATGAGAAGGAACAGGCAACACACTCTACCCTATAGTGTCGCTAGTAGCTAGATTCGTTTGTACATCACCTAGGGGACTGATTCATTATTTTGCCCTATTATTGTTTATATAAAAAAAGAATGGAAGAGGAAAACATATTACGCCGACCCCAAATGATAGTTGGGATAAGGGTAGGAAGATGATGATGAAGATGATGATAAAAAAAGACATTACTACTGCTAACGTAAATACAATCAGTCAACAGACCACACAATAAAAAACTCTTTCATGCTATAATGAATTTAGACTGTCTATATGCATGCACAGTGCATCACCACGCCGTATGCCCCCTGAAGAAGTGGAAATAATTATTGGAAACAGCAAATATAATAAGTTCGTAAACTTCCCATTTTCCATGTATATAGACTTCGATAGAAATGAACAAAAATTTAAACAATGAGATAGATAAAGGAACAACGCGGTTTCAGAGATGTTTCCTCCCACGAACACTCAGGTTATGATATGAGCTCCCTGTCGAGGTTTTCCCTAGAGACTACGGCATTGGGTTCTTCAAAAGGGGGGTAAAGAAGTTTCTTCAGGGTCGGCAACGCGCGCGTAATACTCCTGGTATTGTAGGCGTTCATAGGCTACGAAATCCGTTATCCGCTCACCATCAGGTGGGCCGTATGCTTGATTGCTACCACAGTGGTATAAAAAAAAACTATTATTTTTATACGATGGCAGCTCTGTGCTGCAAGTTTTACTGAACCACCAAGTTAGTCGCCTCTTAAAACACCCACGAGAAAGAAAAGAATGCTCCGTTTTATCTTAGGACCACACTGCAACAATTATTAGCAACATTGTCAATCATATTTCTTGAAATACCTATAAGTACATTATTTCACATTGATGTCATTGTCTCTTTCTATCTTTATTTTAATTTATTTCAATAGGTACACATTACAGAGAATTAACAATGTTACATTAATTTATACAGTACAATAATGTTTTGTTCAAGCCTCCCTCAACCCTCCAAAAATATGCGTACACAGCGTGATCAAAACATAAACACACAACTAAACAAGTATGTAAACACAATATAATTTACACAAACAAAATTATTTAATTTACTTACACATTAACAACTATAAAGGTAAATATACAAACACATGCATAATCATATATATACATACACATATATACACATACATACACACGCGCATACATACATATACACTATCTTCACTAGTGATAACCATTTCATCGATGCATTCGTTTGCCACTTGTTTAGAAGACTAGAAATACTATGCATTTTAATCAATCATTATTTTTTATTTGTACTAGTATTGGACATCAAGAGATAGTCTTATAGTTCAATATGGCAATAAACGGTCACTGTAGCCTATGGACGCTTGCAACACTACGGGTGAGCGTTGCTGAAGAAACCTTAAAATAACCTTTTTGAAGAACTCCATAGTTTTCTTGAAATTGTCATAGACACATTATACACAATTAATTAGTAACAAATTTAAACATTCAATCAATTTGATCAATTATTCATTTGTTTACATCTTCATTGAGTTCTTATAAAGTTTTTATGTATATATTCATTTGTATATATATATATATATATATATATATATATATATATATATATATATATATATATATATATATATATATATATATATATATATATATGTGTGTATATGTGTGTATATATTTCATATATATTAGTATAACTCCTTAATTTATTATTAATATAAGTAGTATTTATGTGTTATATGTGTATTTCTTATGTATTATTATGTATTATTATTTCAGTATGTTGCTATAATTATGTCACATATTTTTCACCACATCTGCCCTTCATACGCTTTCTATTTTTACCTAATGGTTAGCTGGTAGAGAATGCCATATGGCATTAAGCTCGCCACTTGTACAAAGTTTTATTGTTCAATAAAGAATAAATAAATAATAAAAAGAAATTATAAGTACTTTGTTTTATGGCAAAAAATAGACACAAATGCAATAGCGGCATCCATTGTATTTTATGTTTGCGACTATGTAGTTTACAAAACGAGCAAAACATAAGCGGCTACGTTACAACTTGAGAACTTAGAAGTTGCACACCATACTGCAGCTAACTTGGCCCGCATCAGTTCTATCTTGTACCTACTTATACGTTTTTCCTAAACTTCCTATATAGTTTAAAGTTCAACTTTATGAACATCCCTGTTTTGTATTTTAAATTTAAATACAGAATGTTGCCAATATTGTTATTTTTAGCAAAATGATTTAATGAACTGCCTGATGGAGAAATGCAATCCGTTTCTAGTACGTTGACGGCCTTTAAAACTGCAAACGAGTTTTTTTAAGAAATCCACATTGTAGCACAGAAAGCTTCGAAAATTCTTTCGACGATGTTATGTTCTGCAATAACATTGTCGAATTGTCGAATTGCCATAACATATAGAAGCCCATTCAAAGTGTGAACATATGAAATTTGACAAGTATTTTTGCATTCATCAATTCAAAATACTATAAAAAAGTTAGTCTTCAGGAATGGCAACAGCTATCCTCATGAGCTGATGCCCTAGTTAGATGAAGTACTATGATCAGTATATTCTATAATATGTATGGTGCTCTTCATAATATATGGTGCTATATGCGAGGGATATCATTTTCGATAAGGTAGTGCATCAGTTTTTTTAAACCATTTGCAGTTAAATTAAAAAATATGACACACTTACATTAGAAATATTCTTCAGTTCCTCCCGTTTCCCCAAATTTTGCGGTATACTCCCCTCGGGTACATTCACCTGTGCTCCAGAGTCCAAGTTCAGCGGCTCATATTCATCTGAGACTCCACTGTCTGGAGAGTCTGGTATTTGGACGGAGTTCAAATAGCCATTCTGGCCAACCCTGCTTTTGTGGACACAGTAGTCCCCCGTAAAAGGGTTTTGGTACGCGACTACGGTTCTGTGAACAGAGGAGCTGTATAAAATAACGTATAATAGTTACGTAAACGGTAGAAACATGAATGGATTAGAGGTGTCCAAGCAAACGACTTTTGTACAAAGTCTCCCTCTGGTAATTTCACACAAAATTGTAATTTCACTATCTAATTCCACATATACATACATATTTAACCATTTACCTCAACTGTTCCACAGTATCTCCTTCTCTTTTGTGTGAGAACACGACTTTGGTGGGCCGCAACAGTACACCAATCTGAAACGGGAATTCAAAGTTCAAGTGATGCGTCCAGACAAGTTGACTCGAGTACTTGAACTCAAATACTCAAATACCTACTGGATACTCGAATATTCAATATACAGAATTCGAATACACAATACTCGAATACAGGATTCGAGTTATTGCAGTACTTGATCACTAGTTGAATGTTATTTGAATTCATGTTCGAAATTTAAATATCAGGTTTTTAATTAATACTTATATGTAATCGCTTCGCATTAAGTTTTAAATATAAATTTAAATATGTTTATACAACACGAAAGTTTAAAATTAAGTACTTTGTAGTAAGTTTTTATTTTTGTTTGATGGTTTCATTATTTTTTTCTTTAACTATAATTATTAAACAACTGAACGTCTATTATCTTTATTAAGAGTAAACTTCAGAAATCAATAATACTCGAATCTAAAGACGTCTAAGACTCGAGTCAGGTTTTGATTATTTCTAACGTGTAACAAAATAATCGATAAATCGAATGAAGGATGACTCTTATATCATTATTAAGTTCTAAACGAGCCCTAAATTAGTCATTGAAAATGGACAGTTGAAAGGACTGTTTTATCAAAGGATTTCGATAGAAATACGGTCCTTGATGGTATTGATCTTGCAATTTGTTATTCTGTACTCGGAATTGGTTTTATACTTCCAGCAACTTGAAAAGCCTTTATATTAATAAATGAAATACATTTTGAATCCGACAAATCCGTAGAGGACAAGGCGAGAGAGGCGCATTGCTTGAAACAAATGACGTGCTGAATTCAATTCACCGCAAAATTAGCCAATTTAATGGTGAGAAAATTAGCATAGAAAATAAATCTGTACTAAATATGATAAAGAGGAAAAAGCATCATTAGATCAGTCGTGAACTGTCCACTGCTGAACATAAGTCTCCCCATTGGGATATTTGCCAATAGTTGCCACGTTTGGACAAGCGAATTGGCAACTGAAGTTAGGCTTTGGTAACGTTACAAGAGGGACGCTGCTGCCCATCCCTCGATCATTAAATTCCCTTAGTCTCCTATTACAACACCCATGGGAAAAGAAGGAGTGACCCATTCTATGCTCCCATATTCTAGGCTCCCAGTGACTGCATCACCAATACTGACCCAGGAAGCGACGACTTTATAACCTAAGCGTTTAAAAGAGACTAGTTTGAAAAATAACAGGAGTATTTGTATGAAAATGCTGGAAAGACCTTTGCCCAGCAGTGGGATAATATAGATTAATAGTTGTTAATAGACTTTAGTATTTTTTTTTAAGTAAAACTACAGCAAACTCTTAGAGAAAATGCCGCTTCATTGTCATAGTTTTTAACATAGACCTCTCTCTCTCTCTTCGTCCACTTCAATACTGAAGGTCGTGTCCTTGAAAGGTGTCTGTTGCCTCTTTTATAATTCTTATAATCTTAACTAAACCCACATACATACGTAATATACAAGAGTACTACGTAAATACGTATTCGCCCCTACCTCTCAAGTGAGGGGATGGGGGTGAATTGTTTACCTGTCCATTGCGACGCAGTCCATGCACACGGTAGAAACAGTAGCCACATGTGAATAAAATGAGAAAAAACTGTAACAAATTGCTTAGATTAGATAAATAGTTGTGTTTGCATGGCTGCTGTGTTTCAGTTTAAAGGGTGGGATATGGCAGTGAATTTACAGAGTACAGAGGAATAATACCTGAGTCCTCAGGAATGGCAACGCATGGTGGGTATCATGGATGAAACAGTATACTCTGTTATGCCCATGGTACTGCTCATGTCTATAGGCGACGGTTACCACTATCCATCAGGTGGGCCGTCAGCTTGTTTGCCATTCTAAGTTGCATAAAAAAAAAACATTTTAAATACATAAATTAACGCGATGAAAAACCTTTGCAGGTACATAGCACCTACATACCTGCTTCTTTATTGCCGACGTCTCGACGTGGACCACGTCGTGGTCACGACACGACTAAAATTAACTAGATTAGGCATTTTATGTTTTGTATATTCAGCAGTTAACTGTCCACTCCTGGACATAGATCTCCTCCATAAGTGGGATTCTATTACCACGATTATTACATATAAAAGTTCCTGTCATTGATAGGAATTAGAAGCGAATTTTAAAAGGGCGAGTACAAAAGATCACGGAAAGGTCACAGGTTTTTCTGCCTCAAAAAGTCCGTCTTTCAAATCTTTCTAATCATAATAATACCACGCTTGGCAGGCTGTTCGTATGGCTAGAATAAAAATCAATTGAATGGTAAATATGGAATGGAATTGAATTGAAAATGTTTTACAAAAACATTTTATGTTTTAAATATAATCTTTTTTCTTTTTTTTTTTATAGAACTTAGAATGGCAAACCAGCTGACGGCCCACCTGATGGAAAGTGCTAACCGTCGCCTATAGACATAACAGAGTATACTGTTTCGCCCATGATACACCCCATGCGTTGCCATTCCTGAGGACTCAGGTGTTATTCCTCTGTACCCAGTAAATTCACGCCATATCCCACTCTTCAAACCGAAACACAGCCATGCAAACACAACTGCTTCACGGTTGAAACACGAATGGGACAGAGGTACCCAAGCAATCGACTTTTGTACAAAGTCTTCCTCTGGTGATAATCATTTATAAGCTCTTTCAAATTATCATTTTATAATTCTATTGCTAAATTAATTAGCAGAATGATATGATGTTATCAATTAATATTGTACAGAAGCATTTTACTGAACTAAATGTTATCTTGCGGAAGTCCCTATCACTGGTTATTTGATTAGAATTATTTTGTTTAATTCCGCTACCGTTAGTATTTTATTTCAATAGGTACACATTACAGAGAATTAACAATGTTACATTAATTTATACAGTACAATAATGTTTTGTTCAAGCCTCCCTCAACCCTCCAAAAATATGCGTACACAGCGTGATCAAAACATAAACACACAACTAAACAAGTATGTAAATGCAATATAATTTAAAAATTATTTAACTTATACATTAACAACTATAAAGGTAAATATACAAACACACACACACACACGCGCGCGCACACGTACACGCACGCATGCACGCACGCACGCACGCACGCACACGCATACGCACACGCACACGCACACGCACACGCACACGCACACACACGCACACACGCACACAGTATGTAAGTGATGTGTGAATATGTATGATAGCGGAATGAAACAAAATAATTCTAATCAAATAACCAGCATATAAATATTATATATTTGCATATAATAATCAATTTAATCAACTATTTGTATAGTATTGTTTATTTATATGTATAATTTAAAGTAAAATATCGATCGATAAACCGTTCCATTTAGCTTCGTCAGTATAATGACAAAAAACTGATCAGACAAATAATCAGCATCTCACCATCGTCATCGTCTGCCCTAAAGACTGCCATTTTTTTTAATGGATGATAATGGAATGGTAGCCCCACTCGCGTTATCGGTATACACCGGCGGGGCACCAGTGAAGGATGATAGGTGAGGATGAAGCAGGTCAGTTAGCCCATCGTGACGAATTCAACAAGAATTGTTCACGATGGTTTCCAGGGGGAACCACGTGGAGGTCGACCTAATAAGGCATATTGCTAGCAATGGGGCTGTCAAACTCTATTGCTAACAATTCCTTTCCCCCAAAGACTGCCATTAGGAACGAACCTAAGCCACCTGCATCCACTGTCTCCCCAGACAAATAACAATCATCGGTATATACGTAAAGTAGAATTTATAATAATATAATCGTCAATTATTCCTTTTAATTATAATAATTTATTTATTAAATAATTAAATATAGATACGTCTAGATACATTATGTGCACAAGTGTATAGAACATTGATAGATAGATAGATAGATAAACACTTTATTTGAAACGTAAATTACCAATTAAGTTTATACAACCAAATTATGTGCACTTTTTTTAAATATAAAACAAAAGATAAAAGTCGAAAACATGTTTGTATGTATTTGTATGTCATTGATGAAGAAACGAGTCAGCTAATTGTCAAATAAAAAGTTGACCCGTTTTTTGAGACTCCATTGCTCTATTTATATAATTTAAGTTCAAAAGTTACTAGAAAAACGAACCAAACGTACTGACACTATTACAGACTTGAACTGTTTGACTTGTTTGTATTAGAAATGAAACAGAGTACTCACCAGTATACTCAGAAGTACGTAATCAACATAAATAATCATGTTAACACCATTCACCATTTCTATAACTATAATTAACTTAACATTTTTATAAAAAATATCTAAGAATAACACATTGTGTTATGAATTTTGCGCGACTTTCTTATTTTCAACTGCATTGGATCTCATTGGTCGGTTAAGAAGCGGTTCTGCCTTGTGATTGGCTAGAAATATGAGTACTGGAATCTTATTCGTCGATTCGACTAAGACTATTGAATAAAACCAATAGAGAATGACTGGAGATTGGGGATGAAACGTCTGCAGTGGATGTGTCATAGAACATGTCATGTGCAGACAAGTAACAGACTTTTTTTTATTCACCCGCCTTGTAAATATTCATTTTAACTAAGTAATTATATAAAAATGAAATAAATAAATACGCTCACGACCTCCTAATAGGTGGAGTCTTATGTTCAGCAGCGAATAGTTGACGGCTGATATGATGATGAAGATGCTCACGACATTCAATCATCAATGTTCACCACGATGGCATGAGTCGATAAATTAATTTATCAGCTGAGCATGGTATAACCCATTGAGGATTTTGCTAGTCGTTGTCACGTTTGGCAGGTGGCTTAGCGACCACAGTTAGGTGTTTTTTTTTTTTAGAGAAACGCTTCTGTCTATCTGGTCACATAGCTCGAAGAACCGGTAACCATTAGGGAAGAAAGGCTCTTGAGTAGCGACTCCGTACGGGCAAATACAGTGTGGAGCGACCCCCACTAGATAGTGATGATCTCAAATGTCTTGCAGGGAGTCAGTGGATCCCATCTGGATCTACTGACTTAATAATTTCACCTTTTAATCTTATATCTGTACAAAGCATATTCAGTATTTTTTCTAATACTAATACAGGCATTGCTCTCAAGTTGTAGTAAACAATAATACACATTTCAAATTTTCATTTAAAATTATTCAAACGGTTTTACATATTAATATGAACAAGTGCTGTAACATGAAACATGTACACAAAAACACAACACGAAATATGTTATGTATATATATATATATATATATATATATATATATATATATATATATATATATATATATATATATATATATATATATATATATATATATATATATATAATAATCATGTAAAATGCTCATCTTTTAATACCTATAGTTCTATCTGCTACACAGTCTGCTCTATGGCTCCCCGGGAGGATTGGCGCCAGTGGTGTCGCGACGTCTGCCGCCGATTATAACGCACCCTATGATTTCGTTTTAAAAACAAATTGATTAAGTACAAGCTTTATTTATTTACATACATTCATTTAAAGCATTTAATTTATTTATTTTCTCTAAAAGAGATATCTTCCAAGTAACCCAATGCAGTTGGGTACTAACGTTGTATTTACATATATATATATATATATATATATATATATATATATATATATATATATATATATATATATATATATAATTACAACATTATGACAGCAAAAGCCAAATCAGTGTTAAAAGTGTAAAACGTATTTAATCCGCGCCAAGTTTTATGCATGGGCCTGATGCATATCTTTATAAAAAAAAAAGGACCGGGCCTCGGACCTATCTGTAAAAAAACTTACACACGCGCGTACCTCACAGGCGAGGTTTTGTTAAGGTGGTTATATCAAGAATTAATCACAATACATTTCTTTTAAAAAATGTGCTGTAATTGTTATTTCCTTTCTTCTTAAAACTATATCCAAGATATAATTTTTTTAGTGAAATCTTAGATATTACGGTTTTTGTAGAGATTACAATACAAAATTATATTTCATCAGGTAGTAAAGTATTCAAGTCAAAAATTATGGAAATAGAAAAAAGAAATCAGAACGTGTTCCTCGATTTTTTTTTTGGATTTTTCCTACCTAAGTAGGTCAGATTATCGTCTGGGACGATATCGTCCGGGACGGTTGACGGTGTACAAAAAAAAACACACGGTTGGTGGAGGGTTAACCCGATTTCAGAGATGTCTGAGTCACTTCTAATATGTACTTCATCTATATACTTTATGTGTATGTATGTATGTATATCTTTAATATATATTATATCCCATTCGTGTTTCAACCATGAAGCAGTTGTGTTTACATGGCTGTGTTTCGGTTTGAAGGGTGGGATATGGCCTGCATTTACAGCGTACAGAGGAATAACATCTGAGTCCTCAGGAATGGCAACGCATGAGGGGTATCATGGGCGAAACAGTATACTCTGTTATATCTATGGTACTGATCATGTCTATAGACGACGGTTACCATTTTCCATCAGATGGGCCGTCAGCTTGTTTGCCATTCTAAGTTATATAAAAAAAAACAATTTATATATTTAGATTTATCAGCTCCAAGCTAATAGAAGCAAAGAATTAGGTTATAAAATTATGAAATACCTCTCTATAATATAATAAGTTAGTAAAAATAAACTTAACAACGCTTCTACCCTGAATTAATAGTTAGTTTACTTGAGACCTAAACATTGCTAAACTTGTTTTGTACTTTCAACAAACCTTGAGAGTTTGAGCTAACACTGACTTGTATAAATGTAAAATATGTAGTTACTAACGTAACCGTCCCGTATTGTAATAATACTATTGACTAGCGATCCGCCCCGGCTTCGCACTAGTAAATAGATAGAAAGATAAATGACTTAATAACAAAAAAATCTAATTTGGTAACCTTATTTGAAGTCCCAGTAATCTCATATTTTATATACAACTTAGAATGGCAAACAAGCTGACGGTCCACCTGATGGAAAGTGGTAACCGTCGCCTATAGACATGAGCAGTACCATGGACATAACAGAGTATACTGTTTCGCCCATGATACCCCCCATGCGTTGCCATTCCTGAGGAGTAAGGTGTTATTCCTCTGTACCCAATAAATTGACGCCATATGCCACGCAATCTCAAATATCACCGGATAAATACCAGCTGCTGAATTTCACCACCGTACAACTTGCCACAAGCTAAATATCCATCCCTATCTTCAGGGTGAAATGGCAGACCTTCGCCGTACGTTTTTGTAGACATTTTTTTTCCCAAGCACAACCGAAGTATGGTACCAACTCCTAGCAGCTGGGGGGAAGGGATAGTTAGCAGTTAAGTTTGACAGCCCCATTGCTAGCAATATACCCTATTAGGTCGACCTACACGTAGCTCCCTCTGGAAACTACCGTGAACAATTCTTGTTGAATTCGTCACGATGGGCCAAATGACCTACTTCATCCTCACCTATCATCCTTCACTGGTGCCCCGTCAGCGTATCCAGACAGCGTTACCATTCCATTATCGCCCATTAGTAAAAAACTCCTAGCAGCTGTATTTCCGAACAGATACGATGTTAAAACCTTCAAGAAAAGAGCATATTCCTTCTTAAAAGGCTGGCAACACGTCTTCGATTCATCTGATGTTGCTCCAACGAAGCTTATTTTATGCCTGTTTTTAATTTCATTACTAACACTGTAGGTAAAATTTAAGTTTTCTTTTTTTTTATGTTAACAATATTGTTAATTTTTGTTTGAATCGAAGCATTTGGCGTTCCATTGTTTCCGCCTACCCTAATGGGAGACAGAGGTGACAAATATGTATGTATGTATGTAATTTTTTTATTTGGCAATTTGTACTATATTTTCTTTTTATGTAAATATCATTTATATTTGCGTTGGAAGAACTTGTATCCATGGTCATGAATTAATAAAAAAAACTGATGTTGCGGGTGCCTATGGGCGGCAAGAATCACTTACCATCAAGCGAGTCGCATGCTCGTTTGCCTCCTATTCATAATATATATATATTTATATATATATATATATATATATATATATATATATATATATATATATATATATATATATATATATATATATATATATATGTTTAAAAATCTAATAGGATTCAATTTCCTAAATAATAATTGTGCATCAAATTGCATGATATCTAGGCATGGTAATATAATTAATTTCTCTGAAGTTCTGAAGGTTCACGCCTTCGGAACTTTTTCTTTGTACCCAATGTAAAGACAAAATATGCTAGCAATACATTTTTATTCAGATCTTGTAATAACTATAATATTAGATTTACTAGTATAGATCTGTTACACTGTAAGATCCTTGCCTACAGGAAATATCTTAGACGAGTTATTTACACCAATTTATGTATTTATTGTTACTTAATTCCCTTATCTCTGCCTTGCTTTTTACTACTTATTTATTTATTTGGCGCACATAACAGAAGTTTACAAATACAAACTTAAACTATACATATATACATGCAAGTGGGGGGAAAGGGATTGTTAGGAATGGAGACTGACATCTCTATTGTTAGCAATATACCCTTTTAGGTCGGCCTCCACGTGGTTCCCCCTGGAAACCATCGTGAACAATTATTGAATTCGTCACGATGGACTAACTGACTTGCTTCATCCTCATCTACTATCCTTCATTGGTGCCGCGCCGGTGTATACCAATAGCGCGGGTGGGGTTACCATTCCATTATTACCCATTAAAAAAAATACATGCAAGTACATTAATGTATTGTTCAGGTAAACTTGCCACAACATGTGCACACAGCGTGATCCAATAATAAATGCGACTGCAACAAAGTCATTCGGTTACAATTATTAGTGATAAAAATTAAACATAAATAAGAAAGTTAAATAAAAAACAAAACAAAAGTTAATTAAGAAGCTTCTAAATATTACATTGTTAAAATAATTTTATACAATTGACTACGATATTGATTATAACTGAGTCCAAATATTTTAAGGTCATTTTGATAATTGAGTGAGTATTTTGTATTTCTGTATATTCAATACTAAATATATTATATTTACTTACGTTAACTTCGTAACGTAACTGTAATAAGAAATTGTTTATCCCCAAATAAAATAAAATAAAATAAATAAAAAATGTTACACAATTACTTCTTGTTGATTTTAGTATTTAAAAGATAAAAGTAGTATTCATAAAAGATCCTTTGTCGAATTTACGACCGCCCCGTAAACCTTTACACTAGTTCGTTTCAATCCCATTATTTTAATTAAAACTTGGGCAGAAAAAGGGGAAATACCATTTAATTTACACAAGCTGTTTTAATCAGTTTTTTTTTTTATTTTACATAGAAATGCAAATTGATACGTCCCACCCAATGGAAAACACTGGC